TGTTTGAGAGGCAGAGCCTGTGGAAGCCAGCGTGGCTGAAACCAGCAAGGGGTGGAGAAGGAAGAGGAAGAGCACATAGCCCTGCACAGGTCGAGAGCATCTGACCACAGAAGGAAGCTGGCCGCTTTCGGTGAGAGGTAATGAGGTTTTATTTCTACTTTAGAGAGAGCCTGCAGGCAGGTGGTGGTGGATAAACTAGAAAAAAGACAAAAGTGGGCTTTGACGGTCCTTTATGGAGATGGTTACGAAGACCAAGAGTGGCTGGTGATGCTTGGGTTAGGTTCGGACATCATGATGGGACAGAGGGGCCAGGACTTTCAGTGGCTTGGATGTGTGAGGGGAGGAAAGGGGTGTGGATAGTGCTCTGGGTTTTTGCCGAGCCATTGGGCAGAGAGAGGTTCTATTTACTGAGTTGGGAAAGACGGGGATGGAGAATAAAGTCAGAAGGAATCAGGTTTGCTTTACCTAGGCTGTCAGAAATGCTTAACCTGAGCCCAGCGGAGATGCCAAATAGACATTTGAATATGTAGGATGCTCGGAGGGCAGGAGAGAGGCACTTGAGCACTCTCAGCAGGATGGTGGTGTTGAAAACAAAGCCCCAGTAGGACCAACGGCTGATGTGAGGGTTATGTCACTGGACTCCCGCTTAGTGGACCACAGGGTGAGTCTCAGACTTCCCGCTGGGCCTGGGCCAGGAGGGAGACCCTGCAAGAGCGAAGATGAGCAGACAGAGGGTTGTCCCGGGGAGCAGCCATGCCTCGCGGTGCCTGAGCGCCTTCATCCGGGCCTGGCGGGCTGCCCCGTGGGAGGATGAGGTGACAGGCTGGCCCAGGGGCACAGAGGTTGCCAGGCCTGGTCATCGCTGAGCGTGTGCTGCTGCCAGGCCCAGATCATCCGTAGGCAATAACCCGCACTGCTCAGAGCTGCCTGTAAAGACCCCACTGAACAGCCCTCGGGACACCAAGCCCTATCCCGTGCCTCCTCCCCCGAGCAAGCACTCAGTGAGTGTCCCCAGACCCCACTGAACAGCCCTCGGGACACCAAGCCCTAATCGTGCCTCCTCCCCTGAGCAAGCACTCAGTGAGTGTCCCCTGAAGGTAGGCAGGCAGATGTTGACTGCCTAGAGTCACATCAGTAGCAAGTAGAAGAACCAGGACCCAAACACTGGGTCCCAAGCCTCTAGCAGCCGGCTTAGGGCCTGGCCGCATCAGCTCAGGAGATCAGCTCTGGCCGGGTCACGGCCTGTGCAGTCCAAGTTACTGCACTTACGCAGCACTGTCCTGAGTGACCACAACGATGACAGCTAAGACTTACTGAGCCAGGCTCTGGCTTAGAACCCCCACAGCCCGCCCTCCATCGCTGTCTGAAGCAGGGTGATCATGGGCAATGTCACAGATGGGCGAGGAGCAGGGAGGAGCCCAGAGGGTAAGTGGTGGAGTCGGGATTTGAACTGAGGCAGCTGGACCCAGATCTCTGCTCGTAACTTTGTCACCACATCCACACCCCGTCTGCTGCACTCCCAACAGGCCCTGGTCACTGTGGTCCGCCCCGCCTCAGCCAGCCCTGGGCCATGGGCATGGCTGGTGCCCCCAGGGAGGTCTCCAGACGTGAACTGGAACCTTCCCACAGAGGCTGGCCGCTCACGGCGCCATGCGCATTGCTCTACGTGGTCAGCCCATCCCTTCTGTTTTTCCTTTAGGAACTCTGTCCATTCCTTATGGCCTTAACCCTGGGACTCCCGATTTGGCTGGCGGCCTAGAGTGGAGACCCCAGTGGTCACCATCTCGTGTTGGCCAGGGGCTGGGCAGCTTCTGCCAGAGCTCCCCAGGGTAGAGGTGCCCTCAAAGCAGACGTTCCATTTCCGGAAGTTCCGAGGGTCAGACCTGCCACTCTGAAACGCCCATGTAGATCTAGCAAAGGCAAGGGGCTTGTGTTAGGCTGGCCCAGGCGTCCCACAGAAGGCCAGCGTTGACCAAGATGGTCTCTGCCTCCCTCTCAGCAGGCGTCAGTTACCTGCATAATGGAACAAGCGTGCTAACAGCTGGGAAGCGTAACTCTCAGACTCTTTGGACTCAGTGCCGTTTATACTCTTCAAAATTACTGTGTGCCCTAAGGTTGTGTCTACTGATATTCAATATTTTATAAAATGGATAACTTTTTTAAATGGTTATTTAATTCATTTGAAAATAATTGTTAACTGCCAGACACGTGTGTGTCTGCCTAAGGTGCTGACAAGACAGGGGTGGGGGAGGAGGACTTAGGTGTAGCCGTGACCTCTGGGAGTGCTTCCCCCTCCCTGTCTCTGTCTCACTCTGGTGAGAGCACACGTCCTCTGGCAATTAAAAAATAATAATAATAATTCTAAAACCCATTACATGTTAGTGTAAATAACATATTTTATAAGAAACTGCTATCTTTCTAAATGCAAATATATACAGGGAGAAGAATGTGTAGTTTTCATTTCTGCGAAACCCTTTCATGTTTGGCCTAAGGCAGCCAAAGTTCTCATACTTCCTTCTGCGTTCGGTATGTTGCAAAGCCAGTGCCATATACCCACTGGAAAATACCCTTGTACAAAAACGAAAGTAGAAAAGGCAAATAGCAATTAATACTAATATAATTAAAATAGTTTTGAGCTCATGGACCTCTGGAAGAGATCTTACAAGCCAAGACCAGCTATACACTTTGTGGAGACCACTGCAAAATGAAAATGTGGGGACCCTTCTTTAAAGGTAAGAATTTCATGATGGCCACGAGAGTGTTCAACTGTGCCCAAGGCCAGTTTAGAGAGTAGGGTCCTGAGAGAGCTGTGCAGTCCCTCAGACCACCTCTGCGTCCCTGAGCACAGGCTGACAAGCGCTGTAGAGTTCTACCTGTATCTTGAATCAAACGAGTGGTTCAGGGCACTTAGTGAACACCATGGTGACAGAAAGACAGGGGTGTGTGTGTTTGAGTGGCGAGATCACTCGGTGTGCGTGTTCTTGAGTAAAGGCGCACACATTACAGGTCACCAGTGTGCGTGCTCTTGAGTAAAGGCGTGCACCTTACATGTCACCCAGTGTGCGTTCTCCCGAGTAAAGGCATACAGGTTACAGGCCACCCAGTGTGCATGCTCTTGAGTAATGACATGCACTACAGGCCACCGCGTATGTGTGCTCCTGAGTAAAGGCATGTACCTTACAGGCCACCCTGTATGCGTGCTCCCAAGTAAAGGCATGCACATTCCAGGTTACCTGGAGTGCATGCTTCTGAGTAAAGGCGTGCACGTTCCAGGTCACCCGATGTGCGTGCTCTTCAGTAAAGGCGTGCACCTTACAGGGTAAAACATGATGCCCAGGTTTTCCCCGGGTGCCGCTATTACTTCTCTCCTCCCCCCACGTGGCCTATCCCCCACGCTGACCGCATGCACACACATGCAGGCTACACCCTGTGTTCCAAATGGCTGCACATCAGATAGTCAGACACTCACCACAGTCCCCTCCTTCGTGCTTAGCTGTGGTTATGGTTTGATCAACATGACTGATAGCTGCCATACCCGTCTTCCTGTGTGGTGCCTCACACTCTGTAGGCATGCCAAGCATTTGCGAAATTGAATTCTGTAGCTTTGCTGGTTGAGGAAAATCCTGTCAACCGCCCCGTTTGGCCCTCGCTGAGAACAAGGCACTTAGGCACCAACTCCCTCACGTAGCAGGACTCACTTGTTCAAATGGCAGCACCTCACGCTGCAGCAGCTAGTAACAGTCCACGATGTCCGTGCCTGACAAGATTTGAGGTTTTGAGCATTTCGAGCAATGCTCTTAGGACCCAGGTGACAGACGGTCCGTGCAGTGAACAGTGCACACGTGAGCGTCAAGGCTCTGGTCTGCTCTGTGCACGTAGGTCCCCCTTGTTACTCAGAGGGAGCTTTAAGGCAAAGCCCCACAAGGAGGGCTACTCCCTCCCCCACTGTGGCAGGACATCTCACAGAGAAGGGGCTAGTTCAGAGACACGAAGCCACTTGCCCAAGATCACATGCTTTCTGTGTCCCTATGTCACAACACTCCTGCCTCGGTCTCCTACGTAGCTGGGGTCAAGGTGTGTGCGCTTCCAGGCCTCTCGTGTGGCCTCGGCCTGCCAAACTACAGTGTGTACTCAGTGCGGCTGCGGCCAGGCCAGGTCACAGCTAGGTGACAGCAGCATGGTCACCCCTCGTCCTGCCAGGAAGACGACGGCTGTTGGAGAACACGGGGTCTGCAGGACAGTCTGGGTCCACGCTGCTGGAAATTCAACTGTGCCTCGACTTAGCAGGGCTCGGTACTAAGTAAAGCCCCAAATGTCCGCATTCTCTCATCAGTTTAAAGATGGCCTCCACCTCCGTTGTGAGCCAGTGTCTCTTAATTGCATGTCTCTCTCTCTGCTCCTCCCCGGAAACAGCAGGTGTGGTGACATTTGCTCTAGCCCGGCCGGCCCCAGGCACAGCCGCAAGCCCCTGAAAGGGGACACCAGCAGAGCTGAACCAACTGGCTCACGGCACCCTCGGGGCAGTTGGAGCCGGGCCTTCACCGCATGGTCGAGCCCAGGTCCTCTGGAGCCACCTCTGTAGGTTCGCGACGTCCGGCCCTGTCCGTGAGGGTTACGTGCACTGTCTTTTCTTTCCTTTTCTGTGGAAGGGAGAGAAGGAAAGTGAGAGATTATCCCCCACCCCTGAGGGGATGGCCACATCGCAATCCTTCTCCTCCAGTCGCCCCTCAGGATTTTGGGCACACACACACACACCTATCACGTTTCTCAGTTGCTGGGTCTGGGACACGAGCTATGCATTGGACCGTGTGGGATCCAGCTACCTTAACCTCTACTCCACTGGCCAGCCCCCACGTGCATTATCTTATTTAATCTTTGAAACAATCTTGAGGACACTATCGTTAGGGTCTGCACGTAACATTTTCGGCAGCTGGTCCTGCAGGCCCTCAGGGCCATCATACGGGCCGGGTTTGCCCATGTGGAGGCCGCAGGGCGCTTCTGAGCAGGAGTGACCTGATCGCCTGTGCGGCCATGTTGAGAGTGTGTCTGGGGGCAAGGGCAGCCTCGAGGGCACCCCTGGGGAGGCCCATGCAACACCCAGACGCGGATGGTGGTAATGCGGACTCCGGTGGGGACTGGGAGGGGCGGCAGACTCCCGAGCACACCCCCAAGGCCTACGCTCATACTGGGAGTAGAAGCCAAGCCTGTAGGTCAAAGTGAGTGGGAGGATGAAGTGGTGCTCACAGCAGGGAGCTCCGCCACCCGAGGGCGGAGCGCTGAGAGCCCAGGCACCGGCACCATGAGGAGGGCTCAGGGCAAAGGCGAGGCAGAGGCTATTCGGACTCTGCCGGCTCCTGCCCTCTCCTGCATCCAACCCTCTGGACAGCCGGTCTCACAGCTTCTGCCCTGGCTCCTGGGGGACAGGAAGCTGGAGGGTCCAGGCACCTCTGGACCAGCCCTCTGCAGCAGAGCAGGGCAGACTGCCATGGGCTGAGTGGGAAGCCGATACCTGGAGGGAGGCCCCGCTCCTCCACCTCCAGCCCTGTGCAGAGGGAGCTGGGGCAGGGCGTTACACTGCTTCTGAAGAGGGAGCAGAGGCCCCGTCTCCCTTCCCACGAACAACTGGCCGGAAGCTGGACCTCGGCCTCCAACATCCCTGCAGGAAACCTGGGGCCTGGAGGCCTCCGGTCCCCTCCTCTCTGGCCTGGTTTGGTTCCGGGCAAATCTCAGCCATTTCATAAACGGAGGCCAGAAAAGACTAAGCAGCTAATCGTGCATTTCCTAAAACACTTCCGTTTTCTTCTGGGAAATAGCTTTAACTCTCGAGTTCACCAGAAGTGGTGCTCTAGTCACTTACTGCGTGCTCCAGAGGCCCTGAGCAGGTGGAGCTGCAGCCTGAGCAGGTGACGCAGCTCCCGGCCCGTTCTCACCAGTGAAGCAGGGCTGCTTCCCTTCTTGGGGTTGGGGCTTATTGGTGTAGAGCCAGAGTGTACATGTGCTAGAGAGAGAGAGACGGAGGGTGGGAGAGAGGGAGAAAGAGGGGAAGAAGGAGGAAGGGGGAGAGAAGGAAAAATAGGGGGAGGGGAGTGGGGAGGAGAGAAGAAGGGGGAGAGGGAGAAAAAAGGGAGGGAGGGAGAGAGAGAAAGAGGAGAAGGGGGAGAGATGGAGGGGGAAAGGGAGAGAGAGAGGGAGATGCCTGAAGGGGCCTAGTCCTACTCCATCCCTTTCCCCCAGCTCTGCATCCCGCCAGGTCCCTGGGCACTCACCGAGGCCTGGAGTCAGTCAGCGGGCAGCTACAGGCAGTGTGTGACCACTGTGTCCTGGCCAGCCTGAGGTTGCCAAGTTTAATGCTGTGTGAGGACAGTAGGCACCGTTCCTAACAGCCGTCCGCTTGGATTTAGCACCTGTCACCAGGCTATAGCTAACCCCGTAGTCACTACTGTTCACGTGCACGTGCACAGCCAACACCCAGACCTCGGAGGTCTGGCCTCACGGCTGGCACACACCCGGACCTGGCTCACTCCCGGTTAGAGCTGCACAGCCTAGAACCAGCAGTGCAGTGGGCAGATTTCCACTCAGGGGAGGTGAGTGTGAGCTGGCCAGAGGGGGCTACAGCCTGGCTGCTCGGGAGCCGGGGTAGGGCCGCAGCATGGGGTCGCACTGGCATCTTGCTGTCTGGTGCTGTCCTTGGGGTCTGACACATCTGTGCCCCACCCCCTGCCCCCCAGCAGCTACGGGAGAGGATGAAATTGGCTTTACGGATGAGAACAGGCCCAGAGAGGCCACGCAGCAAAGTTGGCAGCTCAACTGGATAAAAATAACCCTGGACAAACATGGCGAGGGCCGGGTGAGTCTGTCGAGGGCATCGTTTACTGAGCCCTCACTGTTGTTCAGGCATCAGGGACCATGCTCAGAGCATGCAGACCCACTCTGCTGTCATTGTGGCCCGTCTTAGTATCTTTCTTTACAGAAATAAAAAGAGGCTGAAGAGATCTGGAACTTTCCCAAGTTGCGAATCCAGGTCTGTTGGCCCCAAACTCAGGCCCTGAAGGACTTGCTCTAACTTGCGTCCTGCGGCGCCTCTTCTGGGGACTTTGTTAGGGCCATGTAAGCCCGCATCCCTTCTAGCGCCCTGGTGGGCTGTGCTGAGGCACAGCCTGGGCCTCCCCTGGCACCCCAGCTCTCTCCAGGTGGAGTGCCTGCACCTGGCACAGCCCCTGCACTTTCCTGCCCTCTGCCCCCAGCAGTCACCCAGTACATGCTGGGAGAGGGCCACCCGAGGTGGGGGCCGCTGTCAGTCCGGAAACTCCACTGCATGTCTCGCCTTGAGCAGGGTTTTCCCAACTGCTAGTTTTCCTGGGGCTCGTGGTCAGCCACCCTTAAATGGAGTCAGAACTTTGCCTCTGCAGGCCAAGGCATTTCTACGCAGCCTGGAAATCCCAGGGCCCAGTTACGTCATCTTCAGAATTTGAAAATAAATCACAAAATCCATACACATGTTCCATTTCAAATGAAAGAAAATAGAAATAGTGCCTGCTCCCCACACTCCTTTGTCTCCGATAACTAGTACTAACAGCTTGGATTTCATAAACGGAGGCCAGAAAAGACTAAGCAGCTAATCGTGCATTTCCTAAAACACTTCCGTTTTCTTCTGGGAAATAGCTTTAACTCTCGAGTTCACCAGAAGTGGTGCTCTAGTCACTTACTGCGTGCTCCAGAGGCCCTGAGCAGGTGGAGCTGCAGCCTGAGCAGGTGACGCAGCTCCCGGCCCGTTCTCACCAGTGAAGCAGGGCCGCGTCCCTTCTTGGGGTTGGGGCTTATTGGTGTAGAGCCAGAGTGTACATGTGCTAGAGAGAGAGAGACGGAGGGTGGGAGAGAGGGAGAAAGAGGGGAAGAAGGAGGAAGGGGGAGAGAAGGAAAAATAGGGGGAGGGGAGTGGGGAGGAGAGAAGAAGGGGGAGAGGGAGAAAAAAGGGAGGGAGGGAGAGAGAGAAAGAGGAGAAGGGGGAGAGATGGAGGGGGAAAGGGAGAGAGAGAGGGAGATGCCTGAAGGGGCCTAGTCCTACTCCATCCCTTTCCCCCAGCTCTGCATCCCGCCAGGTCCCTGGGCACTCACCGAGGCCTGGAGTCAGTCAGCGGGCAGCTACAGGCAGTGTGTGACCACTGTGTCCTGGCCAGCCTGAGGTTGCCAAGTTTAATGCTGTGTGAGGACAGTAGGCACCGTTCCTAACAGCCGTCCGCTTGGATTTAGCACCTGTCACCAGGCTATAGCTAACCCCGTAGTCACTACTGTTCACGTGCACGTGCACAGCCAACACCCAGACCTCGGAGGTCTGGCCTCACGGCTGGCACACACCCGGACCTGGCTCACTCCCGGTTAGAGCTGCACAGCCTAGAACCAGCAGTGCAGTGGGCAGATTTCCACTCAGGGGAGGTGAGTGTGAGCTGGCCAGAGGGGGCTACAGCCTGGCTGCTCGGGAGCCGGGGTAGGGCCGCAGCATGGGGTCGCACTGGCATCTTGCTGTCTGGTGCTGTCCTTGGGGTCTGACACATCTGTGCCCCACCCCCTGCCCCCCAGCAGCTACGGGAGAGGATGAAATTGGCTTTACGGATGAGAACAGGCCCAGAGAGGCCACGCAGCAAAGTTGGCAGCTCAACTGGATAAAAATAACCCTGGACAAACATGGCGAGGGCCGGGTGAGTCTGTCGAGGGCATCGTTTACTGAGCCCTCACTGTTGTTCAGGCATCAGGGACCATGCTCAGAGCATGCAGACCCACTCTGCTGTCATTGTGGCCCGTCTTAGTATCTTTCTTTACAGAAATAAAAAGAGGCTGAAGAGATCTGGAACTTTCCCAAGTTGCGAATCCAGGTCTGTTGGCCCCAAACTCAGGCCCTGAAGGACTTGCTCTAACTTGCGTCCTGCGGCGCCTCTTCTGGGGACTTTGTTAGGGCCATGTAAGCCCGCATCCCTTCTAGCGCCCTGGTGGGCTGTGCTGAGGCACAGCCTGGGCCTCCCCTGGCACCCCAGCTCTCTCCAGGTGGAGTGCCTGCACCTGGCACAGCCCCTGCACTTTCCTGCCCTCTGCCCCCAGCAGTCACCCAGTACATGCTGGGAGAGGGCCACCCGAGGTGGGGGCCGCTGTCAGTCCGGAAACTCCACTGCATGTCTCGCCTTGAGCAGGGTTTTCCCAACTGCTAGTTTTCCTGGGGCTCGTGGTCAGCCACCCTTAAATGGAGTCAGAACTTTGCCTCTGCAGGCCAAGGCATTTCTACGCAGCCTGGAAATCCCAGGGCCCAGTTACGTCATCTTCAGAATTTGAAAATAAATCACAAAATCCATACACATGTTCCATTTCAAATGAAAGAAAATAGAAATAGTGCCTGCTCCCCACACTCCTTTGTCTCCGATAACTAGTACTAACAGCTTGGATGAATCAGCCCTTTCCAATTGCAAATGCCCTTGTCTCTCCTTCAGTTGTCCCAAAGCCTGCTTCGTCTGAAATCAATACTGTGACTCCAGCTCTTTTTCTGGTTCCGTTTGCATGCAACACCTTTTCCCAGCCCTTCATTTTTAGTCTATGTAAGTCTTCATCCATGAGGTGCATTTCTTATAGGCAGCAGATAGAGTTTCTTTTTAAT